TCATCCATGTGTCCCTAGCACGAACAAACAAACAGTTTGGACGACAGGACAATGTTCCCCAAACACTTCCACCCCGGGAGCCACGCTCTCAAGCGGGATCTGAAGGGCAAGATGCAAGAGAGGAGGTGGGCAAAGTCAAAACCCTCTCAATTCCTGCCTTCACTGATAAGGGTTTCCACCTGAAATAACTACTGGGACTTGACACTGGTTCATGGAGACCTAGAGGGTCAAAAATATCTCCCTTAAGTTTTCAAATCATCAGGGTGCAGGCTGCCAGGACAGCATCAAATGCCTCATCTTGTAGGTGCTTCCCAAAAACTTCAAATCACAGTTCTTCAGAGATGACTGAAGAGCTATAAAGACTCTGTATTTGCCCTTGCACGTGCTTTACAAAGCAGACAAACTCCACCTGCAATGACCCCACGAGAGGGTGAATATTGAAAACTCTCACATTCCTGTAATAGCTGAACATTGTAAAATTTCTTAACAGGTACTACTCCAAACTCCCAGCTTTCTGGAGGTTGAAAGGGGCTCACAGAAAAAAATACAGCTTTTTCTAAGGGGAAAAAATAAAAACTGGTCATTGCAAGATGATTTAAAGGCTGAGATTTTTAGGTTAAGTATTTAACATATCCTATAATTTCTAATTCACACTGGCCAAAACAGCTTCAAACCAGATTTCAAACCAGATGGCTTACAGTCACTTTAGAGACACTACAGCCTTTTAAAGAAGAAACCATAAATATTAATTTTCCTATATGTTCCAACTTTTATATATGATTAAAGAAATAACAGAGAGGTTCCACTCTGTTGTTTCTTGACTTAATCAACACTGACGATTTAGAGACACCTCTGCTCACTTGCAACATCTCACCACTCCAGCTAAGAAACTGTTCTTTAATAATGGGGCCATTACTATTTTTAACATTCTATTTGAACTACAAACCCACGAAGTATTGGTGTGCTTTGTGTGGTTCTTTCAGTGGCCAGAAGGCTGCTTTCCTTCCAGGCATATCCCCAGCCAGAGGAAAGGCCTGTCCATTGGGAGCACTGGGCATATCGTTCCCACCCAGCACAGCAACTACGCTAAAAAGCAGGAGAACAATGTATTAAAAACATGAAACTTGAATTTCAAGTTTCCAGGAGGACCTTTTCCGGAGATAAAAATCAAAATTATTTCCTTACTACCCAACATGGAAAGTCTACAGTGATGAAACAGCAAGAGTTTAGAATAAGGTAGAGGGCTAGACAAGCTTCTCAAGCTCGTCTTTCTTCTTCAAAGCACTTCTTCATCCAAAGCAAGCAACGATTCTCCATCACAGCTATTCTCTAAAAAGGAATACGGTGCACACAAGGCTTTAAAGGAGACGCACGATGTCTTGTGGCCACTGCTCAAGAGCAATAGTGATCGCAACACCGAGGATCTCGGCTGCTTTGCTCTGCCTGCTCCAGAGCAAGGAAAAGGCTCCCAGTCAGGCTGCTTGATTTCGAGGCTACTCATAAAACCCAAGGCTCATAATGGTTTCCATTCTTGCTGAAAAGCGAGCTCATAAAACACAGCCAGAGCAAGAGTGGGAGCCTTATGTAAGGGCTGCTCTGCTCTTTAAAGGTCAGGCAGACGTTAACGGTGTTCTGGAGGGTCAGGACAGCTCCACCAGGAACGGCAAGTTCCAGTCAAGGAAGAATTCCTCACGTATGTCAGCACCTTTGGGCAAAGTCACAGATGGATTCTCATGTTTGAGCTTTTCTACCAATCCTATTTTCTTCCAGGATCTCCCATGGAAAGATATTCCAGGATCTCCCATACCATCCTGCCCCTGGAAAGTCACAGCAAGTTGCTCGCCTGGACAAAACACAGCAGAAGTCTGGATTTCCAGTTAGCGTATCAAAAAAGTTTGGTATTTGTGAATAGCTACCAATAAAAAATAATAAAGAAGCACCATCACCAATCTTACCACAAACCAGAAGATTATTTCAGAGCCCCAGCAAGCACTTCTACCCTGACCTTCGATTAAAAAAAAAAAAAAAAAAAAGCATTGCACAAACACAATAAAGAATCAAAGATTCCACATTGGTTGTGTGCTCTGAACAGCACAGCTTTATTTTATTTCTAGTCCTACTCAGTTTTACTGTAGGCTTTCTACCTTGACTATTTTGCATCATTATTTACTATTTTTATAAGCTGTTTTCTGTCTTGTCATTCTATTTAAGTAAGTCTCTTTGCCCGGCATGCTTTCCAAATATTTTTTCTTTTAGGTATCATTTATTTGCAGGTCTCAATTGGTATCTGACCTTTGTGGGGAAAAAAAAAAAAAAAATCACTTGATTTACCACTTGCTTTTTTTCCCCCCAAGAACTTCACTATGCCGCTCCCCAGACCCCAGCATCCTCAAAGGTTTTTCACAGAAAGGATAATCATTTCATTTGAAATACAATCCCATTTCGGGTAAATAAATACTGTTTGAGGTTTGTTTTAAAAAAAAAAAAGTCTGTCAAACCACACAGGAAGAATTAAAGATGATAACACATAAAGCACTACGTAATTCTGTGGTCCCCCACCGCGCTACTTGGATCAGCTGCAGCACACAAGACAAGGTTTATTGCATCAAGACACAACCCGGAACACCGTTTTTTATGCACCTACTACAGATCAGAAGATTCAACGAAAAAACTGAAGTCTCAGTTTCATTTCAAAGGCTTTTTTAAAGTACTGTTGGAGAAGTCCTTCCAGACTTCTGCTCGGAACGTGAGGTTTCAAATAGCAAAGTTGGGGGAGTTACTGCTCAGACAGCAGCAGGTACTCACCGAGTTTGGGTAGTTCAGATAGCAGATCTGACAAGGCATATCCTGGGCCGATGACCTTGTGTTCATCTGGCGCGTTCGAGACTTTTTACTTGGATTAATTACATGACACTCTGCAAAGAGCTTCTCCAAGTTGCCATCGAAGTACCTGCGTAACACACAGGAGAGAATGAAAATTTAACCCCCTCCCCTGTTAAGTCATTTTTCCAATTCTGTTTGGGAGTTAAACGGACAAAGACGGTTTTAGTATTTCAAAAAACTCACACATCCACTCCTTTTAACAAACTCTTCACTCATGTAACACAACATGGCCCTGACCAGAGGTGGATATTAAGACAACTACATCATTTCAGAGATTTGGGCTTGAATCGCACGCTCCCGAAAACTCAAGTACCTTTAACTCTTCAGCTGCATTTTGAGCAACTCATGATTCTCCATAGTGATTGCTTTGCATTAAAACTCCAGGACAAGAAACTAGAGCAAGAATGTCTTACTTTGCAGTCCTGGTATCAGGACACTTTCCTAAAGCACAGATTTGATGCCCCCACATTCAATTCAAAGCTTTTCAGCTTAAGCCTTGCGTTTTTCCCTAATATTCTAATCACTAATATGCTAAAGAGGGGTCAGAAAGCAGCAATCAGTCACGATTCATGATTCAGCAGGTCCCTAGTTCCTGTACTACATGTTTTCCTCCATGTACTCAGTCTACATTGAGCGTGTCCCAAAGAGGTCCTGACTTCAATGTTGGCACTCCCTCCTCTGATCTAAGGAGAAATGCATCAGCAAAGTGAGACACTTGCTTGGTTCACCTGATGGAGCACTTATGCATGGTCACTGATCTCCAATTAAGGCAGCCACAAGGCACTTGAGTCATCTCCAGTTTGGGAATGACTACTGCTGGCTCTGGCCTCCATCAGATCAAGACTCTGATCTCCAGTTAGACCAGTCTTCAGTTTCACACTAAACACCATGCCCACGTCCAAAGCCTGCAAGAGAGCTAATGCACAGTCCACCAAAAGGATTTTGGGCCAAAATCCTAGCCATTTGAGGATCTTTTGTCTCCAGTCAATCCAAGATATTTTAACAGCCTCCTAAGAAAATAAAACTCCAGGTTTACAATGCTTCCAAAGATTAGGTATCTCATGGAAGGGAGGATGCAAAATTGGTTGGTGGGGACACGAGAGACCACTGTTTCGCATTCCCTTAACGAGACTAGTTTACAGTCTGCTCTTCACCTTGGTGAGAAGGACCAGATTTGAAAGAACTATGAGTAGGCAGGTCAGCCTTCTCCCAGGATCAAGACACCACACAGCTTTCTCCAGCAGCTGCAAAGAACTAATCAAATCTGATAATTAACCAGCTAACCTTGCCCGCACGTACATCTCCCATTCAATGCCAGTAAAGCAGTCATTCCCCTTCAACCTCATCACTGTCAGCAAGTTAAATCCACAGAAGGTGGCACCTACCTAGGAAAATCCCCCACATTTGACCGTAGTGCAGTCACTTAGCACTTAAGACCAGCAAATTTACTCCCAGTAGACAGGTGTCCCTGTAGCTAAGCACACAGGCAAGGCTGAAGTTAAAGAGCCTTTAGAGGGCACATATTTAAACTCAACACAAACCAGACCAACAAAAAAAATCTGCTGTCCGCCAACAGATACAAGAGAACCAAGTCCTTCTGCTGGGGAAAGAAGTTATAGGTGTCCCAAAAATCTGGGACTAGGCCAGGTACACAACATCTAACCAAACCTCCTCCAGCTAGATGATCTTATCGCACAGTATTCCCAAAAAGTCCCAAATCCACAGCAGCTCTTTTACCTCATGACAAGACTTAGGGTTAAAAGGATTAATTTCCCTAATGGTTCATATGTTTCTTGACACAGTTCACACACTTGAGATGCTAATTTTCAAGATGCTGGATTTTGAAGGTAGCGGTGAATTCTGGCACTGCAGCATACACGAGGCTTTGCCACTGTTCTTCAATGTTAGCTCAGGGATTTAACTCAACCAAGTTATTTTGTTTGCCTTCAGGATTACTTGTATCTAGAAAATTTTAGCAAATGAATTCCGTGCAGTCCCATCATAGGCAGTATTTGTTTTTTAAAGAGTCAGGGATAAATATTAACTCCACAAAAGGTTTCCAGCCTTCGAATCGTTCTTACATGCAGCACGATCAGTGCAGGACACCCTCCGTTTGAAAAGAGCAGGCAAACAGTTGGGTGGGATGTTTGCAAAGAAAACAGTTTTTAAGACAAATGCTATGATGCAACTTGAATACTAAAAAATGAGCTAAATGCTTATGGAAATACCAGAGATATTTGTAATGGTGGGCTGGTTTTTAAGGGTGCGTATCCACATCAGGAACTTGACTTCACTACTTCAACCAAAGAGTTCAGTTTTTACAATATCTCTGCAAAAGCCACTCTGAGTCACAATACCTACTGCCCTACACCAAGAAGCATGGACAGAAAATCACCAGCAACTACTTTTCACCTGGAATTACCTATCATCTCCAAATTCCAACAGGTAACTCACTCAGAACAACCGTTTCCTTCCCAGGCTTTCAGTAGTTTCCCCAATAACAGAAAATAAGTGATGTGACATCATGTGTTTCTCAGGGCTAAAGGCCAGTGATAAAGGTAACTCATATAAAACATGGATTGGAGTCCTTAACCAATTCCAACATTTCCAAAGCACCGATACACTGCAAAGCACCAAGAGCTTGCATTTTGGTGCAAGAGCCACGGCCCATATTAAACAGTTTCCATCTCAGAAGTGCCTGGTCTCTCCTACACTCACGCAGGAGAAATGAAAAATGAGGCAGCTGAGACAGCCAGGGCCATGTAGAGGAGGAAGAAAACACAAATTTAAGAAAAAAGGCTAAGTTTCACCTTTTTAACTCTGCAGCGCTGTTAGTTCTTACAGCATTCACTCTGCTCTTTGCGATTGTCACTTGTAAACCTCACCAGTGTCGAGCAGAAACACGGTACCAGGTATTCGTCCTTCTCCAGATTGGGCCCATAAGCTGTTTTCCTTTAATGCTTTTCCTTCCTTTGCTGTGCCAGGATGCTCTGAGCAGGCAATTTTTGCCACTATTTGCACATGTCTCAGACTTAAAATCGTGCCGTAACTGGGCAGCAAGGAAACTGGAACTCTAGAAAATGCAGAGGAAAATCTGGATGTTCCTGAAAATACACAGCTGCAATGGATATTCCAGAGTAAAGTCCAACATCTCTCCAACTGCTCCACTGCTTCTTAAGCAAACACACCGAGGGTCCAGTCAAAAGACTATTCCAGTTCCTTGGATGGTTAGGAACAACTCTCAATTCCAATTACCACGTTTTTTTCTCCACTTGTTCAAGCATCAACATAGACAACCCATTTAAGATGATCTCCCTTTGCTCTTTCTGTGCTCTTCCATCAAAGGATTCACAGGCAGCAGCTTCCATGCTCTTCCATCAAAGGATTCACAGGCAGCAGCTGTAGCACCCTTTTCCAACACAGCAGATAAGCTTCTCGCTTGACATTTCTTCACTTCCATCCCAGCAAACCACCTTGATCACTGGTTTCCATTTCTATTCATCCTTCTTGAACTCAAGGAGGCCAAACCAAACGCAATCCTGGTTAAAATTTCACTACAATCTCATACAATTTCACCAACATTTCTTCTGCACATCTAATGCATCTCAAACAACATCTACCTTTCTCCAGAGCTCCTTTTCCATCTCTCGTGACGCTTTGCACCACTTCCACTGCTAGCATCCTCCCAGCTGCCTGCTTTTTTTCCTATATGACATCTGGATCCTCCCCTGAACCAAATGCCTCCAAACAGATTTGTGCCAAGACATTCATTAACACTAACAAACGTTTGTCCCAAAATTAACCAATAAGGGACTTACTAATAGGTTCCATCTAGTCTGCTACTTCCTTTTTGAGCAAAGTAACTCCACACACACCATACGAAGAGCTGAACCCAATGTATGCTATATTTTTTGTATCATATAGTTGGCATGTCAGCATCTCTGCTGTGAAACGTGGGAGAAAAATTCTTTAATTCCCTCCTCGCTTCCATCACAACTCCAGGGGTTTTGATTTTGCTCCTCAAACCATTTCACAAAGTCTACTTAAGAGTTCTTGGTAGCTCGGTCCTTATTTTCATCTTCGTGAGGAGCACAGCACCTTTAACAGGTCTTAATTCCTCTGCCCTCTTCTCCCTTTGCGATGCAGATCCTCTAATTCTGACACTTCAGAAATGTTATGGTCTATTCAACCACCATGAGACTCTCTGCTCAACGCAGCTGACTAATCGAACGACTCATTCTATTAGTTTATCAAAATTCATTCTCTTCTTACCACGGTCCAAGTTGCTTCCTCTGCTACTTTAAAATGAACAGACACACGAGTGAATTATTTTCACGACTTTCTATAATTTCTTCACTGCTTACCAACACCAAGTCCATAATAGCATCAAGTCTTTTTGGCAGAGGGATCAAGCTGTCAGCTTCTTGATTCCCTCAAAATTGCCTCCTGCTGTTGGTAACTGCCTAATCACAATTTCCTAGACATAATCAAATCCTATCCAAGGGAGTATCGAAGATAAAAAGCCTTTTCAATGCAAAAAAAAATGCTTCTAGTACACACTTGGAGATATTTACTTTAATGAAAGAGCATTTGTGAAAGTCAGAGAACCAGTATGCTCGCAGTTAAAGATATCTTCACACCAAAAAGCCTGCCATACGCAATTTTTCACCTGTTTGGCCTCTGCTGAATAGCATTAAGCACTTCTCTGCCCAAAGGAAAGCAGACAGCCAGGCACCTGCAGAGAGGAGTCAGACCCTGACTGCAAGGGGAAGAGGCCATCTGGGCTAGCAGCCAAGCCACCGAGGCCATCCTGGCATCTCTCTGCTCAGAGGGAAGGTGGACATGTGGCCACCAAGATAAGCACCTAGGAGGGATTGCAGTATCTCTGTACTCCAGGGATTAAAGCAGGCCTTTGGTTACATGCTGAATTACTTTTTTTTTTTTTTTAATAAAAGATGACCAGGGGAAGGCACACAAAGCAGGAGAGCTGCATTTTCGTCTCTTCTTCATGAGTAGGTTCATCCCCAAAGTTCTCCTCAGAGAGGCTATCAGCCATGGTAAAATTGGCAGGTAATCAAGAGAAGTTATAAGCCAAAGCACTTCCTTCACCTATTTCTGAGGTCACCTGGTCAATCTGCACCTGCTAGTCTCCTGTCTCTATTAACCACGCTTGTGAAACAAAGAAAAACATAACATCTTTCATCTCCAAAACACGTGTGGCACATCAGAAGCTGCACTCAAGTACTTCCTCCAGCACCCACTTCCATCCTACAAACAAATCCACCTCAAAACACCAATTTGGCTTTTGGACACAGTCGAGTAATTAGTGTTTCACCAGTGGACAAGGCAGTTTTTCAATTGTGGCTATTACTTCATTATAAGTGGAACAAATACCTGTAACATATCTGCCCTCTTAATAACGCCACGCAATTACTCCATGACGAAGCTAACAAAGACAATAATAACTCACTTATTAAAAATACGCATAACAATGTTAAAAAAAAGCACACAAAGAGGCTTTCACGTTTTAAAAACATGGAAATTTTCATCTCGCAGGCTCAGACCTCAAACTCAACACTTATCAAAAAATAAAGAGCACTTGGATTATCTGCTTTACTCCAGGCAACGTTCGATACGACTGCCTGTCAGGTCATGCTGACTCACGATGAACGAAGGTAAACCAGAAACTGGCTGGGCACTGTAAATACAAGCCATTAAGCAACTGAGTTCAAGCTCTGACTTGATGTGAAATCAAGCACCAAAAATCACACCTGAACGCTACATCTCAGCAAGCATTAAATCCACCCAGACTGCAGGCAACAACAGGAATTTCCTGGGAAGCGTTCCTGATGGTTATTAGCAGGAAAAGAGGCCAAATTTATACCAGTTCCACTGTTTAAGAGTCCCCCAGGAAAAAAAAAAAAAATATGCGTGTGCCTCCAACACCATTGCAGAAGATGGATTCCCTTGGTGGGAAGCAAGGCTGTCATGTGAGTGCTTTTACTCAGGACCTGTAAGTGGTGCAATAGCAGCACGAGCGGATGCTCCGGCCCCGGGTTCAAGCCGCACGGTGACGGGTGCACACAACAGGCAAGTCAGAGTGCAAGTTCGGCTATTAGCGAGCTGGAGACTTCAGACACAAGACTTTTTTTCAGGGGGGTCAGACACTGAAGACATAGTGAATGAATAAGTGTTATCTTCAGGTAAAAATGTAAGTTTGGGGGGTTTTTTTACCCTTAAAAAGTAGTGTTGACATCTATTTTTTTGCCTGATCAGCGCATGTCTTTTCACCTCACCACGAATGCTTCCCAGTGTGTTTCCAGCTCACTTACACTAGTACCACGCTGCAATACGATTTGCTGGACATACAAAAAGTGATCTCCGTTTTGGAAGAATAACCAATCCTAAATTTGGGCTTAATAAGCTTGTTGTGTTTGTCTAGACAAGAACCACCTCTATTCTAGCGAAAAGAGGTGATGTGTAGCTGGCTTATGGCATCATTTCCAGCTCCATCACTACTTCAAACTGATTGTTTTGGAGTCTGGCTGCTTAAGTGACCAGCCACCTCCCACCCTTGCCTTCATCTACTACTGCAGCAATCCCAAAATCTTCTTGAACGCTACAAACCGGCTCTCAGCCTCTTCCTCAGCCTCCCACTCGTGCTTTAACACAGCTGAGCGTCGCAAAGGGCTTCGTGGAAGCTATGGGGTGCAGAAGTGACAGAAAGTAGCAGCAGCTACTTCAGAGAAAAATATTTTAGTGTTTTTCTAATACAACAGGACATCAGTCAGCATCAAAATTGTCACTAGCGTGCAACAGGTCTGCCTAAGCAAAGGTCACGTATTATATTACTCACACGGGTAATCCTGTAGCATTAAGATAAGTATTTTAATGAATATGTTCCAAGAGTAAGTGTTTACCTGTAGACTTTGTAAATATTTACGTGTAAAGTGTTTTGGTTGGAAACTGTGAAAGCCTGACCAACAATACCTCACATACAAGTGGCTGACACCTCCCTTTGAAAAAACCCACAGCCCATTTTTTTTTTTTTTTTTTTCAGCCTTAATAAACAAGCTTTCAGTGAGAAGGGAAAACACCCACTGAACAAAAGGGATGACATTTCAGGACACTTATGTAGCAGAGGTATCTGAAAATGAGATGGAGGTAGCCAAGCACAGTGAACTTTAGCCTGACCTAAAGAACCAGCAAAAGAAACTAAAATACAAAGTGAACAGATACACTTTCTAGAGAAGGAACTAAATCAGAATGCTTAACAGTTGTAGTCAGAGTTAAATAGCCTCAATGTGACTATATTTTTAACACAAAGCTTTCGCACTTTCAACGTTAACTAAAAGAGGTCAATCTCAGGAAAAGCAAGCAAAGACTAGAAAGCTTTAAAAAAAATACAATCACATCAGAAAAAAAAGGAAAAAAATCTAGGCCAAACAAAACAGAAGATACCTGAGCACCATCACTAACTGAAAACGTTACACAAAGGGGGCTAAAGGCGTCCTAATTCCATTCTCCCAGGACAGCAGAAATATTTAAACTCCAAACCTATCTTCTAGCAGATGGAGAATCTGTTGCTCTTCCACACTTGCACCCTGAGTTACAGAGCACCAAACTACAGGGCTCAGCACAGAGCACCAATGGGCTGTTACATGGCATTTCTCAAAAGTAAAGACCATAAAAAACAGTAAGTCCCTGTACTGCCTTTACGGTTCCTTCTGGTCCAGATTAATTCTCCCCCAGCTTCTATAAGTAAATGGAATTCCCCAGCTCCCTCACACTCCCTTCAACAGCAACACTGGCATGGAATAAAACCAAACAATGCATTACCACTGCAGCTGGATTTGGCCTCCTCTGTAAAATAATGAACTATAAAAAGTACCTTTACCAGCAACATTCCCCAAGAGCAGGGAATGAAAAATGAGAAATAACCATAAAATGCTGTGCTCTGAAAGGGAGGGAAAGACAAAATTCAAGTCATAATTTACATACACATGCTAAAGAAAACATAGAGTTGCAAAGATGAAGACAAGGCAGATAAAGTTTGCCAGTACCCTTTATCAGTCAAGAACAATTTAGTCTTGACAAGACTAAGGAATAAACATGTCAGGAAGATGCATGCTGGCACGACATAGCACCTCTCCTCTGAAGAAGGCTGAGAGTTGGGGTTCTACAGCCTGGAGAAGAGAAGGCTCCAGGGAGACCTTCTAGCAGCCTTCCAGTACCTAAAGGGACTACAAGAAAGCTGGAGAGGGGCTTTGGACAAGGGTGTGTAGCAACAGGACATGGGGCAATGGCTTTGAACTGAAACAAGAGGAGATTTTGATGAAATCTAAGGAAGAAATTTTTTACTTTAAGGGTGGTGAAACACTGGACTAGGTTGTCCAGAGAAGCTGTGGCTGCCCCATCCCTGGAAGTGTTCAAGGCCAGGTTGGATGAGGCTTTGAGCAACCTGGTGTAGTGGAGGGTGTCCCTGCCCATGGCAGGGGGGTTGGAACTAGATGATCTTTGAGGTCCCTTCCAACCCAAACCATTCTATGATTCTATGACATGCAAGAGCAGCTAAACCCAAACTCAAAACAGTTTCAAGATAACAAGAACCTGTTCCTGCTTGCTTTTTTTCCTGAGCCTGTGTAAACGCTGTGCCTGTATGTGTTCAAATTGGAAGGCATCCCGTCCTCCGACAGCCAACTAACTTCCAATACTTCTTTGAAGTCTAATAGGTATTAACAATACCAAAACAAGGAGTCACCCTTAGCTGCTAAAGGGGGAACATTTAGAGCTTACACAAGAGATTCTCCTGCCACATGTTGTGCATTCATCCATCCTCACATTAATCCGATAATAAACATTTCTCACAGGTCTGAAGTAAAACGTGGCTGCGTGCTAAGATGGCTGCTTACCTCTCCATCAGCTTCTCTTTATCCCAGTTGAAATGGCTAAGCAGTATTCGAGTGATAGTCGCTGGATTCTAGAGAAAGAAAAGAAAAATAATAAATAACTGAGTAACTGCTTGACTGAGTTGGTAAACTAAACACCAAGCGGAGTTTTGAATAAGCAAATGGGGAAATCGAGGTGTCTGAAAACATAATCTGTGCAGACAATAGATGTGAACTCACATATACCGGAAAAGAGTTTGACTTGATAGATACAAAAATTAAAAAAAAAAACCTCTATAAAGCAAAATGTTTATATAAAAATCAGAATATGGTTGAAGACTTAAGGAACAGGGTAGTTATTGCCACCACAACAGATGCTTAAGTGCCAACATCCCCACGTCCAGCGTGCTTACACAATGTAATCCCAAGGTGTCCGTAAAACGCAGGAAGAGCTGATTGCCATCTGTCCTACCTGCTTTTGCCACAACCTCCACGCTATTTGTGGAATAAGAATATTCCCTGTTTGTCCCAGCCCCAACTACCAAAACACTTGAGCTGAAAACTCTCACAGAAAGTAACTGGCTGCCAGTGTAAGATGACAATGTCCTTTCAGGTCCCTCAGATGTTCCTTGAAGCATCCCGAGATCCAGAAAATACCATGCACTTATATAACTATGGAAAGAAACGCAGCCTAGAAAGGTCAGAAACAGGGTGGAAAATAAAAGCTGATTTTCACTTGTGTAAAAGTTTCTCTTCCAACTAAACCTGCATCATCAGCAAAGGGTTTGGTTCTATGAGTCGAGAAACATAACAAACCCTACGGCTTCTGTTACGCCCCAGAACCCAAATCCAACTCTCCGGGCTCAGTTTCAGAACCATTTACATGCAACAGAGGCAAGAGCGAGCGCCCTGAGTGTGGTTATGTGTACTTTGCCATTTGACACCAAAATGGAAGTTTGCCTTAGGGCAAATTTTCAGCAGACGCTCCGAAGCTGTTGAAAAGTAGGACATGAACTGGCAATGTGATTTTTCTGCGCCCGCGGGCTACAGCTACAACTCGAAGCTGCCAAAAGCCAGTGCTGCCACCCAAAGCAGTGATCCCACCCCATCCTCACCCTGCACTCACCCACCCATGCTACTACAGCCATCTCATGCTGCAACGCTGCAAATTACCGGCTTGGAAATGGACCTTTTTTTCCTCTTTTCCTTGTTTTTTTTTCACTGAACCAGTTCCTCCAATCTGTTCGATTGCCTGACCACACAAACAGCTGCATTAGCACAAGGGAGAGGGCAGGAGGGGACAAGCAGGACAGCATCTTTTCAGCAGTGACACCAACAAAATGTTCACTGAAATAAAGCCTTGGCACCAAAATATAAGCATAAAGAACTAGACTTGCAGCTTATACTATAAAAAGTGACACTCCTTTTCCTTTGCAGTGCGTTCTTACTCCTCTTAATGCCAGCACAGCTTGTTTAAGGTTAAATTAAGAAATTTTTCCGGCTTAAAAAGCCCATGTGAACAAAAGCAGCTTTAGAAAAGTTAAGACCAGATCCCTGATCCAGTCCATGTGGAGCCCCATAAACAGCTGGGACGGCAAATCTGCTACACAGTATGGAGCAGAAAAACCAGAAACCAGTATTGCCAAACACTCTATATTGTGAAAACACAGCTCCAGTCCATCTTTGAACAAGTCTCCCAGGACACATGGATCCAAGCTCCTAACTGTAATAACAAGACAAGGTGCTTGGCTGACAACCACTTGCAACTGGCCATTCCGAAACAGCAAGGGAGCATCCCAGCCTGGCAGGAATTGGGATAACAACAGCTTTCAGGTAGATTTACCCATTTCCTCGCATCGAAAGCGGCGCCGGTGCAGCTCCAGGACAAGCTGGACTAGCTTGCTGCTCTGATGGGACTTATTTTCCCCTTTCTTTGTAGCTCTCAGCCAAAGCAGCGAACTGATACATCTCGCTGTACAACTGCAACGTGGATACACCAAGTATATAGCCAGAGGCCAGGGTGAGAGGCTCTTCAGACAACAGGATGGTCTTTCCATGGTTTCTATCTCCTACAGAGCTGCATCCGCACTTTTTGTCCTGGCAGTGGGGCCGACAAGTGCTCTGCCTGGCCAACACCGCTCAAGTTGCCGCAGCCATGTGGAAATCATGCTAAACCAGCATGGAATCCCATTTAACAGAGAAGAAAAGAAAAGAAAAAATAAAGTCAAGAAAAAGCCTTCCAATAGCATCAATCCCCAATCCAGCCCGGCGGTGCAGAGCAGACAGAGGGGAGTAATGACTCAAACTGTTTCAAGTCAGGCCTGCCACCAAGAGCAGTGGGAATGTAAGGGTCTCCTTCACCAAAAGGCTACTCCAGCTTCAGGCAGGACTGCAGCCTCTTTCAGGGCTTCAGTTTTTGATCTTTCCAGGTTACTTTGTATTCAGGTCTTCGCAACACCTCTTCTGTAATTCTACCTGTATTATGTACCAGTTCCTACAGGAGTTCGTAACAGCACACGTAAACACACGTGATTCCTTAGAGCAAATCAACCAAAGACGAAAATATACTTCAGTAAACAAATTGATCTTATCTCTAGATGATCTTGGTTATGATACCAGCTCCTTGTAATCAGTACAACTTTTTTTTTAAAAAAAAGTTTCCATGGTACAGTGCATGTCTTGCCTCTAACTAGGACATCTCCTGCTAAACGTAGCAGGCAGATAACACGTAGAGGTTTCTCCAGGTAATCCTTCCAGCACCTTCACGTCTATAAACCCATCACTTGAGCCTCTCACTCCTGCCATGCTCTAGAGTTACAAAAGAGTTTCAGGCAGTGAAGTATGTAGCTCTTTTCAAACACAAAGATTCTTCACTCAGCCCAGAGATCTACCAGATGTATAAAGGAACAGTATTTTCTTAATTTCTCAAGCAATGGCATTAAGAGAGCTTTAGAGCAGCCTGAAGTCTTGTCCTACCTTCTGCTACAGCCCACTTGACCACTGTATTAAGGCTTCTGCGAATACCTATTAATCACTTAAGAGGCTAAGAGGCAACTGAGGCAGTGGTCTCTGGCTGACTTTTGTTGTTAAAGACGACAGACAGGTTTCCTCTGTATTAATTAAGTTATGCTGTATTAATAAGGAACTAAGCGGTCTGCAGCGATTGTCAAGTGCGACAACGCAAATGCAGCACATACCACTCGCCAAAAGACACGTGGCTGCAAAGAACATGAGGGTCTCGATTTGTTTGTGGCTTCTCCATTTTCCCAACAAAGCAGCAGTGCAGCTTTCCAAACCAAGTTTCCCTAGATCAGGCTCCCAAATATCCCAGCATCACAAAGAGAAGGCGGTTTCCCGACAGCAGTGTACGAACCAGCACATTATTTAGGATTATACTTCAGAGACCAGCACTGTTGGCTCGGTGCTTTATAACACAAATATGGTGTAAGGTGTAGCTTTTACTAACTTGTTGGGCTTCAGCTTCCTCTAGCTACAGCAGTGTTTGTTCAACATGTTAATTTATAGAAAATAAAAGGAAACACCAGCAGCATGACAAGCTCCCACCAGAAACAGCTGGGCTGCCTGCTTGCTCTGCCTGCCCCGTCCAAGATCCAGCATTTAAAACTGCACTAGCCGTTTCGCCGCTGGAAAAGGCAAGGATTCATACAACTGTGCCCTCGCTCGTACGCAACGCGGACAGCGACACAACCTGAGCCGGCATTACACGGAGAGGACTGGAGACAGGGAGGGAGGCAGCGCTAAGAGGCTTGGTTTGCATAATGTAACTCACAGTTAAATACAAATGCAAAAACCTCTGGCATGAAGGATTGTTCTAATTTAAGGCAAGGCACACCGACAAGGTGCCGGGCACCAGCTGCTCCGCGTTAATTGCTTGCATGCACACACCTCGCCATTATTTGGGAGCAGCGTTGGAGGAGTGAATGGCAGCATCTATCGCAATGACAGGTTGTGCTGCGGCGGGGCCGGTGGCTTGGAACTCGGTCGTACGGGGTTAAAATGACACCGATATAATTTGATGTCTCAACCTGTGTTTTGACACTACTTCTGCGACAGCCCTCTATCAACCTCGCCGCTGCTGTACGAGCCGCTTCGGGCGCTCACTCTGCCCGGCACTGCGACAATTAACAATGTTTAAACAGCCTTAGATTACACAGCACTGGTATAGCCTAGATTCTGTTCTGAAACCGGATGGGCACCTCGTTTGGCACACAGGATTATCGTCTACGACTCCTACACCACAAAGATTAGTTACGAGCAGGCTACGCCGCCGCTCAGACGGGATTACTACTCCGGCTCGAAGCTGCAGCGGGGAGAAGCGTGCTTTTCCAAAGGGTATTTTCTGTTTACGAACTCAAATCTTCATAAATAAAGCAGCCAGAAAGAGACAGCAAGGGAAAAATCCAACACATTCGAACGCTCCCCCCTCTTCCTCCAAATGTGGCTTGATGAAACAGCAGATCCAATTTAGAGGAGCCACCTATTAAGTGTTACGTGTCGAAGCCGAGGAAGACTGCCTGGAGCTCAGGGCAGCGAGCCTGTTGATATCCCGATCGGAGCGAGAGCGGAGGAACGCAGCCATTTTGTCGAAACGCTCAGGGCACTTCAAAAGACTCGCTGTCACAACTATCTCGCTAACGAAACATTCATAATAAAGCTCTGCCCAGAGAGAAATGCAGTCAGTCCTTCAGAAGTGATTTTTTCCTGTCTTTTTTAGGCTAACAAAGCAGCCAAACACGCTTCGCTGCTTCTCACTGGAGGTATTTACATTTACTATCCTTATCTATGTTGCCAGGCTCGGGCACATCAATGCAAAGCTGGAGATACAGGGATGGGAAACTCTGCAAAGGTCTGGGCTTCTCCAAAGTAGTATTATTAACTGAAATAAACTCCTTAATTTAATGGAATTTAATTGAAATGGAAGCTTGGTCACTAATATCTGAGTTAAATTATTTTTGCTGTCAAAATAAGAAAGTATGAATTGGAAAGAACCACCTGGATGCACTTAAAACGCATAAATGAATTATAAATTAAAGATTATTAGGACATTAGCTTAAATCAGAATTTCCAAGCAGTGTAATTTGCTGAATGACAGTTTGCAGTACTTGATCCATTCATGTTTTCATCCATCAAGACGAGTTGCACTGTTAATTCTTGCACTTATTACCGACAAAAGCATATTCCTGAGTTCAGCTTCTCATCACAGGCTGGGAGCAAGCTCCTGTTTCAATTTGAGTATTCACTGCAGATAAAAGCCATTTAAGAACAACTTCAGCTCAGTTCTCCAGCAAAACCCTTTCCCACCTCCTTCAGCCGTGGTATCAATAAATTCATTTTGTCTTTTTCCGTTTCATGCCTGGTTTCGGTTTTGTTCTCTAAACATAGCAGCTTTAGGTTAAAACCTGTTGAAACTCAAACTGCAGCATTTATTTTGCAATAGCAGAGGCTTTTTCAGACTTGGTACAGCCATACGAGTTTGACATTGCTCCCAGTTCAGTTTTCTAGACAACTGCTTTCGCACCACGAATCAAAGCAGACACTCCAGGAGCAACAGCTTTGCCCAAGCCTGACACATCCATAAATGGTTCCAACCTCATCGACATCCACAGCTGTATTCCACGGGTGCATAAATGACACAGGACTGTAATGAAATTCCCCAGCAGAAGGAAACTGACTGGTTTCAAGCCGGTTGACAGCAAAGAATAAGAGTTCTTCTTGGTGGTGACTTATCGCACACGACGGTGGAGGAGCAAAGACTCAGAAGAACAGCTCAGAAGCCAACCCCTGTCTGAAACAACCAAGCAGCACAAACATTTGTTCCAGTAAAGCATGCCACACCACCCCTGTAAATATTTAATCAGTCAAAAACCCAACCTTTGCCAATAGGAGAGCACCAAGTGGAAATTCCAGCTGCCCTCCAAGCAGGAGGAGCAACAGGATGGAACACATCTCCAAAGCTCATCACTATGCACATCACGGGATGGAAGGAAGCATTAATAAAATAATAACCAACATATCACATTTTATGTTAGCAGACGGAGTAAGAGCAACCTTGTCATATGAAGGTTTAAAAAGATTTCTTCATAAATTAAGAGACTTCTGGCTTGCCTGAGCTGCAGCTCTCATCTACGCCCTGGAGACCAGCATCATCAGACATGCTGCGTGTTTTCCCCCCACTTCTCTCCAGATGACTTTAGGCTATGGAGGTGGTGTGCAGGCAGGCATGCCCTAAACCTCAAGACCAACATCAGCAGGTCTCAACTCAACTGCATGAAGTGCCACCACCAAGCAAAAGCAGAAAGCCTCCTGTAAGTCTTCAATTACTTCAAAACCCAACACGTTTGCATGCTGACACTCCTTTCTGAAGGACAACAGCTCATTCTCCTCCCACAGCACAGAACGAGGGCAACCAACACAACAGATCAAGCACTATATAGCTGCTTCCTTCATCAGGTATAAGTGGACACCAGCTCGAAATCCAGCAATAACTTGGTCATCTACTCTGTTTGAACACCACTGCTCTTCGTCTGCGTCTCTGCCAGCCCCATCAGGTAACCTTAGATATAAAGGTACAGAGGAGAAAGTTTCAGATAAGATTTTAGCCTGAACCATGTTACAGCAAGACCGTTGTCGTAAGGTTTGCATCGTTTTGCAAGCACACTGAGCGACCTTCGTTTGTGAAGCTCCATTCACAGCTGTTCTTTCAGGAGACAATTCCAGTAAGTCTTACAAACACAAAAACTCATTTCTAGCAGCTTAATAACATTCCCAGGAACTGAACATAGAAGATGAGACCTAAGTGTTGAGCGCCTCCGGGACTTGATCTTCTAAGGAGGTTATCTTCAAACTTGCTAGTTTTTAAGCACCACTGACGGAGGACTCCGAGAAGCTGTTGAAAAACTTTCACGTAATCTAATACTCCCCGGCTCGATTGCAGACAGAACACTAGAGGACTGTTGTGAGAAGATGAGGACAGCAGCTAAACAAATCAGTCTGCCACCACCCATCCACGCTCTCCTCCTCTGCCATATCCTGAGGCTTGGGAGAGAATCACACCATGGTACTTATCTGCCATTGGCCATCTCACAGTTTATGGGGCCAGTACAACACACACAGATGGATCTGAGATACTTCTCACCCTCCAAACACCTGTTATAAACAAGAACAACGAATTCACTACTATTCAATCTCGGTGCACCCACTGAGGATATGGTCTTCACATTCTACAGCCTCACTGAAGCCACACTAAGTGACTTTTCCGATAATTACCCACCTCTGAATCACCCCCAAAAGTACCTGTTTCCTGCTCCTGGCATTCCCAAACAACTCCGCATGAAGCCAGGCTACTTCCCTGTGACATTGCCAGTCACTGCTGTCAACTGCTGTCCTCCGGCTGGCACTTACCACCTCGCTGTAACATCCCATTAACACATACATAGGCTCCAGCTTCGATGTTGATGGTCTCCTCAGCTTCCTACATCTTCCTCCATCTCATTAACTTCCCTTCACACATCATCTCTTAATTTTGAAAATTCAGTTTTACAGAATTACTGAATGAGTACCATTACGTGATGGCAACAAATGGCAGCTTCATACTATGATCTTGGTTTGTAGCAACCTATCTGTGCTTCAGTGATGGTTTCTAACTGAGGAACATCCTCTGCTAAAAGAGCGTAAGATAATATAAAGCAACTTCAGAGAAAACTCTACTACTTCAGTTAATTGGTTCAAGAGACAGAAGTGAAGCAGTCAGCTGCTTTACATTTGCTCTGAGCTTCTTGGAAAGTTTTCAGGTTAATGATTAGGAGCCACAACAAAGATCCATTGTCTAACAAAGCTCTTAAAATCAGAAAGAAAAAGAAATACTAAAGCGACAACTCCAGGATGCATTAGCAAATTTGGAAATGCAAAGACTGGATTCACTCTGTAATCCTTCTAAATAAAAGACAATAGGATGGATTTGCCATGCTCCTCAAGTGTCCTGGGCAGTGCTGGCTCTCAGATGACTGCAGAAGCTCCACCACCAACTCAAGACAAATTAAAACTGTCTATGGGCTACGACCAGGGAAGGTATTTTCCAATATTTCAGCTACATTTGCTTCCTAACCAGGAGATCTACGGTTTGGTCACAGGATACAGAGAGATGTTAACCCTTATTTTATACATTTAATTTGAAGGACATTTCGGTTTCTACTTCCTTTTGCTAAAGTTCCAGAGCATAAAGTCAACCTTTTGAAGAGCAAAGACCCACAGATACAGAGGCCCTGTGAATTCAAGCAAGTTATGCCCCCGTAGACTCCTTGAGTCTCTACAGAACAAGAGGTCTCCAAACATACGCGCTTCCACAAACCATTTCTCACTTTTAATTCTTTTAGATTAAGGAGCACTCTGGTTTTACTGCCCACAAAGGCAGTGTAGCACCCAAAGCACTCCCCTCCTCCTGGTGTCTCCCACCACAAGAAATCCCAACGTATGAGCAAAAGCTCAGCAAACCTGTGTAAGCAACACGAGCCACAGCTATAGTTTCCGGAGTTGCCACTGAGCAACTATAGCTGACGTACTAAGAGAGAAGCAGAGTGGGAGCACATGGGTACCGGAGTACGTTTCAGAATGGGTTTATTCAACCCATTGCCTCCCACTCATGAATTTGCAAAGACTTGCCTTAAAAGAGTAGGAGAAGGTGATGGCATGATTTCCATGTAA